ACATTTTTGTATCGTTGTCATCCAGCACCACCGATAGAGTAGGCTGCCATTGGACACAACATACACGTATTCTATCTCTTGCTTTCACGGTCCACGTGAGTCTTTAAATATTGTAATTTATCATCTCACATTTAAATAAAAACCATATCTGTAGCTCGACAGAGCATATGTATGTTAAAAGAAAATACTGTAAAACAAAACTGAATAAATTATTTATTTGAACTGAAATAAAATATCTGTAGCTCAACAGAGCATGTGTAAATGAAAAGAATATATTGTAACACAATTAAATAAATTTGACAATTCTTTTCAAAATGCAAGAATAAAAAACACTATATATCAAACAAAAACAATCGGTGTTTTGCATTCTTACACTGTTAAAAGAGAAATATGTTTGAACAACGAACGAACTTTCTTGAGTTAACAAGATGTTGATTATGGTGCATAAAAAATATATTGATTAGCCTAATTATTTGGAAAAAATAATTCTGGGAAAAATAATAATTATATCAGAATCCTTATATTTAAAATAAAACACGAAATGTCAATAATATATAATTGAATTACCCATATATTATGTTCATATGAAAGAACAATACTCTGGTTTGCTGGAAATATATCTTTTTATGAATAAAATATGAAGTTTATAAATTGTATGATTCGTGTTTGAAGATAACGTCTGCACTTTATTTGTTTTCTCTTTGGCCCATTCGCAACATAGACAAAAACAAAACGCATTCATCTTTTTTATATATTTTTCATGTAATCTTTGTGTAAAATCACTTATTATAAAAATTATAGAGAATAATATTTTTGAGTGTTCAACATTTGGTTTAGTATTTTATATTTATTATTATTTGAGTTTAAAATTTAAATTCTACTTTGAAAAAAAGAAAATATCAATGTATATTACATTTTTAGCAGGGCTTGCATTTATGTTATTTACAATTAAAGCGTTACTCAATTTTTGCGTTTATTTTTATACGGAATTAAAACGTTATCCAAGTTTTGGGTTTATCGTTATTTAAAATAGTGTTAATACCTATTAAATTAAAAAAAAATAACTAATTTGGGTAGGTAATGGCTCGGATATGGAATATAATATAATCAATCCTTAGATTGTTTGCATGAAATAATTAATGTTTCTACGAAACCAATAGACCTTTTAAATAAATAGATTTTAAAATATTTCACTTTGCTTTATTTTTAGTTTAATGATTTTCTATAAATTACCTTCTCGTTATGTATGGTTTAATGATATAAAATATATTTTGTTTTGCGGTATTTAATTATTTTTGATAATCGTTTTCCGTTATAATAACGTTTACAAATTTCAATCGTGTTTTGTCAAATATAACGTTATAACTTTAACGTTATTATAACGTTTGCAAGCCACAATATATTTGATTTAGACACAATATTTGTACAAAATGATAATATCTATAATTTTTAAAATACGTTTTATTGAAATAAATGTTTTATTTTTATAAAATTATGTATACCTAAATTTATTGATTTTAATATTTTTAAATATAAAAGTAATATAAGTTATTAGAAAGACAGTTTTTCTTTAAGTTTTTTTGGTCTATATATACTGGATTATATCCATTTAACCTAGGATACTCATTATTACAGATTATAAGAACCTATTATAGAAAATAATTCTGTTGGAATTTTGGAAAAAATTATTTTGTACCTACTATATTTTTTTTAGGTCGTATCGTTATAATTGTTAAGTATTTTATTATTTTGAAATCCAAAAATGAACTCCAAAAAATAATCCACTCTGGAATAAAGAAATAAAAATGCATGTTGTCATTAAAAAAAGAAAAAATATATATATAATATATAATATATAATAAATATATATAATATTGATAATGATAAAAAAAAGTCAATTATAATTTTTTAAATGTAGTTTTTAACCTTTTAAGATTATGGAAGAAAAAAGAATTTCAAAAATGTTTCAATGTTTTCTAATGTTTTAAGTAACTTAGAGTATCTTACGTTAAGTGGATCGCCCGGTATAATAATATGAATATACTTAGTGAATTATTTCCGTACGCCTCCTCACAGTTTACATAAATTTAAGTCTGTGGTCGGTCCCCGTAATATTTTGATCATGAAACGTAACATTAATATAATGTATAACGTCATTGTTATGAAATTCAAATTTTCAGTTATGGGTGGAGGGTGGTAATAGTAAAGCACCGATATATAGATAATATTATAGTCCCATCGCGCGTATCCCAGGACGTAGCAGTATTATATGAGGAGGTATTACGTCGCACATAATATTAGGATTATCATTATTATTGTCATAGGGATTTATGCGCGTGTCGCCGTCGCATACTGCAAAAGCGATCCTACAATGTTTGTTTTTATTTTTGTTCTCTCTCTCTGTCTGTCTCTCTCTCTCTCTCTCTCTCTCTCTCTCTCTCTCTCTATCTCTGCGTTGTGCTTCCTCTTCTCTTTCAGAAACGAAAAAGAATTAGTCGCGCGCGCCTAATACGTTTCGACGTTCCCGCGAGAGTCGCGAAAGCAATATCCTCTTCCGGTCCATCTCCCCTCTCCCTTCCAATCTGAGCGCGAGCGGACATTATATGACCGGGAAATGCCCAACTCCATAAAGGCTCGACGTTTGGATCTTATTTCGCGGGACCCGGGTGAACGAAATGTACGAAGATTAAACACGTCATACCGGCAAAACTGTTTACAAACCATTTGCACCGGGCCTTCGCCGCCTCGACGGATCCCGCCACCGCAACCGTCCCCGGGGGACAGTTATAACTTTCCAGTATACGTAAGTGTGTGTGTGTGTGTGTGTGTGTGTGTAAGGTGTATTAACCACGTGTCACTACGATCACTGACCTATATAAAAATAAATAAATAAAATAAAAATAGGAATAAACTGCGTGTATAGTACTGGATACTTTTGCGGCTGATATCGCTAAGGTCGGTTTTTACGAAAGCGAGCATGGATGTTTGGCATACCTACACACACGTGGATATTATACTTTAGTATACAATTTTTACACATAAATATATACCTACATATATGCACGAGTCGCAAGTATAATAATATATACATAATAAACTCGTACCTATATAATATTATATACATACACAAACGAAGATTACGTCGCGTATATGTACGGAAAACACTCGGAATATTTTACGATATATTTTTGTCATATACGCGTGTATGATACATGTTTAATATGATAATAATATGCGTGTATATTGTATATTATTATATAGAGGTAGGGTACTTTAATATATTATTATTATATTATTCACATTTGCAGCCTTCGTCCGCTTCGCCGTGAGCGCGGGATACTGCCACGCCGCCGCCGCCGTCGTCTGCGTTTCCGTCGCGAAATTTCGGTTGGCCGTTTTTCCGACGATATTTCTGCTCGCGATCGCGAATTTAAAGTTTCCCTTAATAATAATTACAAATTCCGTCTCGAGGGCGCAAAACAATTAAAACGATTAAACAAACTATACTTTGTTTACACAATTATTTCTATTGTATGGGACCTGTGTATAATATATTATTATTATACGAATTCGTAACGTCCTAGGTTGAATACTATTTCGGATTCCGAAATTGATTGAATAGTTTGTGACTCTAAATAACCCTTTCATCTTGATAGTGTGCATATATGCGTGTGTGTAGTGCATGTGCGTTTGTACACTGTTTGGTAAATACTAATCTAAGGATCGTATATTATCATGTACCTATACCTACTGCATTTAAATATAATGTGAATAAGATTAATTCACTTTATTATTTGTTTCCGGTGAACCGTGTATTATGTGTTATTTATTATTTATTTATAATGTTATTATTATTATTATTCCTGCAGTCCTGTTCCTGTATTTACGTAATATTCCTATTGGCTATGTTACACAACATGATACTTACCTAAAACATAGGTACTATATTTGTATGGAATATGATAAAAGAAAACAACTGCGACGGGACGAAAGACAAATAAAAATATAATAATATTAAAAGATTGTTATTTACTCGCCGCGAGTAATACATAATATACTGCTATGATATTATTACTGTCAATTTTTTTTTCTATTGTCTATAGTACCTACGCAGTGTACAACATGTCAATATAAAGGTACTTACATAATATAGCTATTCAAACAGAATTATACCAAAGTCAATATTTTTCATTTTCATTTTATTAAAACGTTAAATTTAATTTGTGAGAGATTAGACAATATCGTTTGTCGAAGAATCATTGATGACAAATAAATCATAATTTTCACAAAACAAACTTTGAAAATTTATATTCCATTGTTTAACCAAACATCAGTTAACTCAACTAAATACATTAAAATCAATACGCTTGTCTTGGAAGTCATAAATATCAAAAGTTTCCCACTACAAATTAGATATTAGAAAGACTATAGAGAATACAGTTGTCTTTGGGAATTACATTTTAAAAATCAAATCAATAAATTATTCCATATAGGTACCCTGCAGTACTCTCGGAGCTGACATGATTATTTTGTTTATCTTATTTTTAATGAGATTTGAATATAAATGCAAGAATATTTTCTTCACCTATTCTAGTTTTTAAATTTTTAAAGATAAAGTATTTTTTATGCTTAAGACCCACTTGAATTAAAATTTTCCAATTTTTACTTATATTTGACCAAATTAATAAACAATATTAACTATATGGCTAAATGCATTATAGTATATAAATTGAATAAATAATAAGCAATAAACGTTTACCTAGCTTTAATTTATTTTGAAACAGAAACAATCACATAAAAAAAAAAACAAAATAATAAAAATTAATTGTTTGATTAATTTCAACAATTTTTTTTTACAACACACAAGTTATAGGTACTGCTAAACATTCGTGAGTATTGTGTTTACACAAACACTCGCGCTTTGTTAATAAAATGTTTTGATTTAAAAACTGTTATGCTTGTAAACAAATATTAAAATTGATTAATAATATATTTCTTACCAGGATTATAAACGAATCGTTTTGTGATACTGTATGGAGTACTTGGTATGATGAGTTCGCAAAAAAATGTTGTTCGAGATGGTAATTCGGATTCGGAGAACAATGTGGATACTGTGACATTAAATGCACCATCGTTCTGATAATCCAATATCTCAATAGGCAAAGAAGTGTTTCTAAAAAAAAGAACAAAATAATTATATCAAACGTATATTTTTAATTTTAAATCAATCAATGGAAACAATTTATATATGACTGAAATCAAACGAATTGTCCATACACCAAAGGCAATCAATTCTATCTGATCATTTTTTTTTTAATCAAATATTTACCATAAACCAAAATTAAAATACATTCAATAGACAATATTCAATAATAATTGAAATAATAATAAAATCTCATAAACATATTAAACTTAACTTAAATTTGGTACTTGTAAAGTTGTAAAGCTAAATATTAAATTTAGATAGATAATTTATATTATATAAATAAGAAGATGGTAGGTATAGGGACCTATAATAATATGTCTATATTTTAAGGCGTTAAATATTTATAATAAAAAATATATAAATATTATATATTATACATTTGAATTCGATAATCCTATTCTTGAACTCAAATTAACTTTATCATCACCTTGACTTCGACATTTTGAGATTGCGTACGACAATGACTTACAAATGTCAGGCCTAAATAATATTAAGGATAATGTAAGTGTTTTTTTTCATTGAAACAAAATATGTTTTTATATAATGCTTTCTTATAAATTGTTTTATTGTATCTTTATTATATTTTAAATCCGAGATTGAAACATCTTAACAAAAGCTAAGATATCAAGGAGAATATAATATAACAGATGATGCACATTACAAGTGTCTTTTTTTACGCTCTTTGTTTAGTCTTACTATTCATAATATGGGAGTTTTGAACTTTTGATTTTTGTTTTCACAATGTGTTTTGTTACTTTAAGTAAGGACTTTCAGGAATGTATTAATAGATCTTTCAACTCATCAATCCAAACAATCTTGTTATACAAATCGCTAACATGGATATTTTTTTGTAATTCAAATAAAATTCGTAATAACTAGTAATCCGCTTGTTTATATTGACAATTTCATTTCAGAGGGGTAGGTACTTAGCTCGAATTCAATAAAATAATTGGTTTTATATTTTCTTTATGTTTGTATTTTATTCTTATAGAAAAAAAAATGAAATTGGGGAAAAATTCAATACTTACATACATTTTAATTTGTTAAAAAAAACAAGATAAATATAGCATTATTGTACTTGAACAAGCTGTTAAGGTATTGCTCCTAAGTCTTACTAGTCGTTAAACATTTTTATATACCTAGCGAAAATTAGTAATATAATACCCATATGGCCATATTACCTACTGATAAATATTTTGGTTATTAAACATTACATAGGTAATAAAACAATTTAAGAATACATTTATTTCAATTAACGAGGTTAATAACTAATAGAGTTAAAAATATATTTCTTACGACAGTTTTGAACTAATTAAAATGTAACAAAACTAAATAAATGAAATGAAATGAAAAAACTGTACATAATTTTCTTCATTTAAAAATTAATTCAACAAAATTAAATTAATAAAAGTTTTGTTGAAAAATTGTTGGCACAAGATACAGTAATAATACTGGGGGTCTTCAAATTGCTATAGAAGTTGGTCGATTAAAACTTTAGCTGTTTTAAAAAGCTTTCAGAATTTCTCGAAAAAATGAATATGAATTTTAGAAATTATAAATAACTGAAAACATGACTAGTATGATGTATAATAAAATGTAATAATCTTACTATTGTTAATATAACAAAATATTACCAAATTGTTTCTATTTGTTATCATACATGTGTTGAATAATAATTATAATAAGAATATATTTTCTTTTTATAGTTCAAATTCACGTTTATTAATATTTGACTTTATAATGTGAAGCGCAAAAAAAATTGTAATGACATTCATCGTGACCATACAATTATTTTGGGAATTGGTTAAAGACGTTAAACCACTCAACTGACACTTTTTTTTGAGCTCAAAATAAAATATGGATTATAATAATAGCATTATTATTAGCTTAAGGAAAAAATAATAGAGGTAGATAATATATAGATGTATAAATTTTGTGAAAGACGATCAGTCATACAAGAATACAGAGCTATTTTTTAAGAAAAAATCTATAATTCTTATATTATAATATTATATATAGTCTGAATTCGACGAATAATAAATTATTATAATAATCCCGGAGAAAACAATATTATAATAATATAAGTTTAATATGTCAATATTCGATAAAAGTGGAACGTGGTTTTTTTTCATCGATATTATAAGTGACGCCTCGGAGAAATTAACATCACGGTCCACCACTACGGTATACTGTATATTACATAATATTATAAGAAAAAGTTAATTAGGCAATAATGGTAATTACGAGCGAATAACGAAAGATAAAAAAAAAAAAAAAAAAAAAAAACGTTTCTAAAGGACCGAGTTATTAACGACGGTAAAAATTAAACCTTCAAAACAACGTGCCATACTTTTCCTTGCATATTATCGTGAGACTGAAGATGAAACAATATTTACGAATTTAATAGAGATCTAATATGAGGAGTTTTTGTTTTTACCCGACACAGTAAAGTCTCGTGGAAGGCTCTAAAATACAGAGGGTGTGAAAATTACTTATTGTAAGTAGTCGTATTCCGCGTCCCCATAACAGTAGTCTGTTGCTGTTGTGTGTTTTCGATTTTCCAAGCGTGTATGATTGGTTACGACAATTTATAAAACTCACGCGGGGGAGGGGGGAGGGGGCGTATCTCATCAATATGTGAACTATTGCAGGCTGCTGCTGCTACGTCTTCGGTCAACCGAAGACTTAAGCGGTGACATGATTTATCGTCCACCGACTTTTGTCTGGACGTTTCCACTTTTTAGCGGCGTTTTTTTCCTCTCCCGAAAACGTCTACAAGAATAACTGTTGAGTATAATATCCCCCTCCCCTCAAAAAAAAAAAAAAAATCCCATACGCGACAAACACTATAAATACAGTTTTACCAGTAACTTTTGCTTATATATCTTACTCTTTTAGTTTCTCCAACTCTCACTGCTTCCTCTTCTTGTAAGCACGGATTTTGGTTTTCTATCGTTTGTATTTATTTTGTATGAAGTATATTAATGGTATGAATGTGTACAGGTACTACAGGGTGACTCACTTTGAGTGCGTTTATATACGTCATGGTTGCCTATAGTAGTTTTATTGTAAAACGATACCTACGCGAGGTGCTAATACTATAATAATAGGCTCCGTCCGAACACTAGTTGGTGTTTTTTAAATATAATTATAAAATGTAATTACTAATTACATACAACAAGTTATAAGTGTAGGTACTTCGGTATAAGTATATTATAAGCATATTTTGATACTATCATTTTGTAAAAAAATAAAAAAATAGTTTAAACATCAAAATATAAATTTGTCAATTAACAAAATCAAACACTAACCGCTGGTTTTAAGTATCGAAACTCGAAAAGACGAGAGTACAATGATATAAGTAGTCTCAAGCTAATCGTTTCACAGTAAAACTCATAATTTTTTTGTTTTTTAATTATGTCTACATTTTTTTGAGGGGAATCAGAAATCGACTAAATATGATATAAATGTACTAGGTACATACCAAGTGATTCTAAGGCACAAGGGAAATTATTTCATTTTAGATTTGATCATAATATTATAAAGATTAAATAGTTTCTAATTATGCTGTACAATGACTACAATGATCTATTTATGGTTTTAAGTAAGTGTAGATAGAATTCAATTGAAATGAGAGAGAATATTAAATTGATTAATGATGTAACTATGTGGTTTATTGCGTTATACTTAATAGCACTGAGTAAAGGGATTTAAATATGAACTAATAATAACGCGTCTTTATATCAACAATGGAGATAATGAGTATATAGATTGTATATACTCGTTCACATAAGATATATTATGTATATAACTATTATGTATACAAAGGGTTAGAATAATCATAATAATTATCATCGTTACCAAGTTGATTATGTCATATTAATAAATTGTAATTGTAATAATTAACGACAATATATTAAGGAAAATAGATATTAATATAGACAAATAAACCCATTAGCAATTAATAACAAATAAAATTTGGGGAAAATTAATTTATGTACACAAGATTCTATGATTTGGATTGATTTACACAATCTGTTTCTAAATTCACACTTATTATAACTTGACAATATTTTGCAAACCCTATTGGGTGGGGGTGTGGGGGTAAATAGTAAAATAACCAAACTTTTATAAATAAATAAAAATTAAGGGAAAAGGTAGTTTTATGCAAAATGCAAATCCAAATTACAGTCCATAATGAATAACTGGAGACGTGGGAATTGATCATCAAATATTTTATTAGCATATTTTAAATAATAATTATATAAATTTAAGAATAGGCTATATTTGTACTACCTATTTATAGACATAACAATTTTTCAACTTCTTTACTTTTGTTTCGATTTACGTAGAATACAATTTTCGTTTATGAGTAAAAAAGCTTCGAAATTGAATTTATTTATTTATAAGTTTATATTATTATAGTGGTTAAAAAAAATATCGAAAATACTTGGTCTATATTATTTTAAGCATTTAAAGTTCAAGTTATTTTGAAATTCGTCAAAATTACGAACATATTTGTTTTGTAATTTGTAGATTACAATAATGTATGAAATTTCCAATTTAATTATCTATAGCTATAAGGATTGAAAAATGTTAAGCAAAGTTTTAGGTAAGTTTTTTTACAGAAACCTAAAAATCTCAAAAATACAAATGCACAAGTATCTTTTTTTTAGACATTTCGAGTTCAAATTTCCACGAAAGTGGATATTAAAACGAAAAATAACCATTTTCATTATCTAAAATTCATGTTATTTAAAATATACTATTATTAGGGACTTTTAAAGAATTTACCGTTACTGCGTATATGATTATTTAAGATACACAATTAAATTTTTGAAATATTTGTATTAATTTAAGTTATTTTTACCACGAATTTATTCAGTACTTATTGATTTATAAGTTAAAACTAGCTGGTAATATTAAGTGGAATAAAATTATAAATTATAAAATTATGTTGCAACACATATGGTATGTTTAAGGCAAACATTAATTCACTCAACAATAAAACTAATGGAAAAATAAATTATACTATTTATATTACTAATATTAATATAATATAGGTATTAAAATATAGTTAGAAATTTAGGCTGACATACGTTTTCGTTGTGTACAAGAATTTATCATTAAATTAAAATATTTTAACACATATCCCATACACAGTGACATACTTAAGACGAGATCCATCAACACCTACCTACCATTCAGCAGAGCGAGTTCCCCGATTTTTATTAATAAGGATATTGGAAAGGTGAAAGGTAATCATAAATGATAAGTTGGCATTAATAATTTTTTGTACCTACCTATTCAAGAAGCCAGCAGTTTATCAATTCTAAATTTCTTGACACTATGTAATTTAATAATCATAATAGAAGTTTAATATAGTGTTAATAGTGTTATTACAGTTGTATTATAGTTTTCGAACTAAATTATACAGTCTTTCTTTGCCGCCAAGTACATTCGAAAATTCTTTTATATTTTTAATTATTCTGAGTTATTATAATTGTGTAGTTTTCAAATTTTACAGTTCATTTTTAACAAGTTGAATAATTATTTATACCTGACCCGAGGTTCTTAGAAAATATAACATTAAAATTTACTTATTAATTTTCTTAAGGATACAGTAATTACAAAATTGAAATATAAAAATTACAATTTATTCATAACGTAGATAGTTCAAAGTTCCCGCAGAAATAAATTTTCAAATCAAATTCAAAGTTTTTGACAAAAGGATCAAAACAATAAGAAATCAGGATTTTGATTTAGGATTTAATCAGAAAAAATTATAATTATCTATATTGTGTTTTGTTTTGGAGACTTTGGGTTTTAACTTTTAAAAGCTATATAATAGTTTTAAGAGAAGTTTTTACTTATACACGTAGTAAATACATTATACATAATATATAGGTATATACTATAGTAATAGACAGCAAGCTTCACGAAAAACCCTACTATTACTGAAAAAAGTAATGTACCTGGGAACTTTACAAATGTATAATTTATATAGTTTCGGTAGGTATTCACAAATAAAATTACCTCAATAATTGTATTCTTACTTAAAAACAGATATTAGATAATATTAGAAAAATTGTTAGTATTCAAAACTGCGTTTCGGAAAAACTACATCAATTAATTGTTCATACCAATACCTATACATTTTCATGAATATAAACTATGTTTAATTATACACCAATATTGTATTAGTTTAAATTTTTTTACGGATTTGCACCTGATTCATTTATTATCGGGTTTCGGGTTTTGGTTGTTGCATGTATTCGGGTGTTGAAACTTGAAATTCCAGAATAAAAAAAATAAACAAACGTTTGGTTGTTAATAACCGTTATTATCCTGGTTAATATTAGTTTATACGGGTGTTTACTGTCCAGTAGACAGAAATAAAAACATAATTTTTTATAGTTATTTTTATTAGATACTTTTTTATAAAATTTTATTGTTCAGCTGTAATAAATTATATTAATAGTGTTTGGGACGCTGACAATATATAGTTTAGTTGTTGACACAGACTAGACCCGACCATCAGATGGACATGGACGACATCACGTAAATATTTTATATTACTAGCTTGGCTTATTAGCCAATAAGTCTATGTTTTGAATTTGGATTTATTCGATACTAATTAAGTAATTAATCATAATTTAAATAATCCAATATCTGGAAAATTTGTTTTATCAAAACCGAATGATAGAATTGAATTTTATTTTCTAGTTATTTTGAGAAAAATGAATATTTATAGTGTTTTCCTCTGTTGGTTGTAAAATATCCTAAAATTGTTATTATTAAACAAATAATCAACTACAAGATCGAACTAACCACATGAAGTACATAAAAAATGATATATCACATGAAAATTGTAAAATAAAAAAATATTTGTGCTTTGGGTTAACCAGAATGTTTTATTTTGGTTTTGGTTAAATCGGGTGCAAGGCCTTGATTTTTTTTGTATGTGTACTTACTCGTTACATTTAAAAGATAAAATTAATTCTTATGAGATTTAGCCATTTAGGTATTTTGAAGTTAAAATACAATTAATCAACACTAATATATTATATATAAATAGGTACTAGGAAGATACTATTAATATAAACAAAAATACAATCTAAAATAAAGTTTGAATGTTTTGAATTCAATAATTAAAATTTAATGTAAATAGTATTACATCTATAATTATTTTGGTTTATCAGTCACTTTTGGGCTACAACTAGAATCATATTTTAAATTCCAATAAGCGACCGTTTTTTGTCTACTATATAATATAGTGAATACATTCTGCGACTATGCGACTAGTGGCCATTATAGTTACCGATGCGATCAATGATAAAAAAAAAAAAACTATGATTGAGATTAACAACAATCACGTTTGTTATAGGAAATTGATGCAATTTACCTGTTTTGAGTTCCATTAGTTTCAAGCTTGTACAGTTGCATCTTGGGCATGGGAAATACTCTGGAAATCATACAAGATATGTTCACCATGTCTTGGTCGTTGGCCTTGGTGCGTTTCATGTGCAAATGTTGGCCGGGCGCTGTGAAAAGGCAAATAAAAGGTATGTTAAGTCGTAGGCAGGGCTTGCATTTGAAAAAAAAATTCCGTTTTATATTATGTACAGTTAAACGTTATCCAAGTTTTGAATTTATCGTTGTACAGAATTAAAACGTTATCCAAGTTTTGCATTTATCGTTGTACAGAAGTAAAACATTATACAAGATTTGCTTTTATCTTTATTTAAAATAGTGTTAATACCTATTAAGTTTAAAAATAATAACTAATGCAGATAGGTAATGGTCCGGACATGGAATATAATATCAATTCTTTAATTCTTTATGAAATAATTAATGTTTCTACGAAACCAATAGACCTTTTAAATAAATAGATTTTAAAATATTTCATTTTGCTTTATGTTTTGTTTAATGATATATAATATATTTTGTTAATCGTTATGTCTTGTTTTTCGGTATTTAATTATTTTTGATTATCGCTTTCCGTTATAATAACGTTTATAAATATCAATCGTTTTTTTCAAATATAACGTTATAATCATAACGTTATTATAACGTTTGCAAGCTCTGGTCCTAAGTACCTCGTATCAATATTAGGAATAAATAGCCGATGCTTGTATAATTGTATGTGAATAATATCATACCGACGACATTAAAAACCGTTCGATTTATAAGATGATTATAACCACCACTGGCTTACAAAATAATCGAAAAAAGGTGTTCAGATTTTGATGTTCAGGAGTTTCAGTGCCGAATTATAATATGCAGTATGTTCACTCATTATTCGTCTATGTATACAATTTATAAGTATATGTGCCAGAAGAAGCGGATTTGCCTTTTTTACGGCTATAGGCACTAAAAATGTGCAGCCCCTATAATAGGTAAACAAGTTATAACCCCTCCAAAATACTCTAAATATTGAATATAATAGACAATAGTACCTACCTAGCAAAATCTATTTGAATGTTTAGAAAATTTTTTGGACTTAAGAAAATTTCAATGGATGTCCACCAAATTTTAATAAAACTAACAATGAAAATGTTTATGAATTATGAAGCATCATCAATAAACCAAAATTAAAACCATTGTTTAGAACATTAAGTAAAACAGTACAATTTACAAAATTTGTATAATAGGTACTTTCTTTTTATAATAATAGGCATGCAAGACAGACGTTATAATAAATATTTTGGTATAACAATTCTTTTTAATATTATTATTAATTATTTTAATTTTTGATCTGATTTGATTGTCATTATTTTAAAATATTGTCTCAGTAGTCCTAAAAGGTTATATTTAATATGTAATAATATGTATTATTCTATGACTAAGTCAGGAAAACATTACACAGATAAAAAAAAACTTTTATCATATATTACAATGTTACAGTACAATATATATTATTTCCATATAGGTACATAATATGAAATTCAAAATTAACAGGCGTTGTTTCCATAATATCATAATATATTACATTATAATTGCAATATTGCCCCTTCATTTTTCAACACGATAACAGACGTTCACGCCGTTTGATCGAATACGTTAATAAAAAATGCATTACTATTGGCATAAACTTCGCAAGGGCTGGACTCAACCCCTCTCCCTCCCCCCGAAATCGCATACACACGTCATCCGACGGACCACGGCGATAATATGACCGTTCATGCGTATCGTGTGTATATACCACAGGGTATTTCACGGGTCCGCGTGTTTATTCTTACTTTTATCATTATTATTATTTTATTTCATTTTTTACATAATCTATCTTGCGAGTATCCGTTGCGCACACCCGCCGCCGTATGTACGGGGCGGCGTCCCGTCGTCGCTTATCCATCTACGTCCGATGTGGCTTAAAAAAAATTGTCACCCCCCACGTTTCACGTAGGTACATAAGCTTATATAACAATTTATGACTATGTATCGTGTGTACAACGGGCGCGAGTGTGAATGATTCACACGTCAAAAAAGACCATCAATCAAAAATTCGGGAGGAAAGTAACCAAACGTTTTAGCTTGTAATCGAAAACAACACTCTACCGTGCAGCAGCAGTGGCAGCAGTGGCAGTAGCCACGGCCACAGCGGATACAGCGACGGCTACAGAAGCAGCAGCAGCAGCAGAAGCAACAGTAGCAGCCGTCTTTCCCCCCAAAAATAATTGCAACCGTCGTCGTCGTCATTGTCGACTATGCACTGTGTACACGTTTCACCACGATCGCACCTTCAACTCATATATAGGTATACTGCTGAAACAACAAGAAATTCCGATCGAATGACCTGTGCCATACACGGGACACATATATATATATATATATATATATATGTGTGTGTGTGTATACACAGCGCAGTGGTAATGTGGTATACGGCAAGCGAGTCTAATCGAAATCGTAAGATTTCCCGTCAAAGTCGAGAATTCCTGAGCTTCCGACACCGCGATACGTGTTACACAATATATTATTATATTATATACGTATATATATAATATATTACACATTTTATTCGGACTTCGACGTTTAATCGGTGCTCGAATTCTAGGACGTCTCGCTGTGTTTATACTGTCAATTTATCACGGATGTTTGGGAGAGCCGAAACATTTAGTTATAAACGTTGCACGTGAAATCTCATCATCGCAGTCGATTTCGGAGAGTATCTGACTATATATAGGTGAATTTTGTTGACGCGTGTCTAAAAAGCGCAATAATCCGTTTGGTTAGAGAAATCTCGTCATTAAAAATAAAATTTCAATAAGCCTCATATTATCTATAACACTCACTGTAGTTTCCTTCAAATAATACATTGGATATCTCACTGTTTTTAGGCATGATTGCAAAATTCTTAAAAGTTTCGATACGATTATCTGTGTCAATTTTCTATCCAAAGACTTTTACAACACTGTTTACGATCAAATAAAAAAACACATAGTTATATCTTTTAGTTGTAAAATCTAAAACATTCCTTGCTTCACTAAAACTCCAATGTGATTTTATAGCAAAACGTGACGCAGCTGATCATACAGCTGGTTAGTCGAGTAAATTGGTAATTCCTTTGATAACATAAACTATACAATCAATTAGACGACTAGGTATTTTTTCTTTTAAATAAATGTTATTTTTGAAAATTCTTTTTTTTTAAGTATTTAAGACGCAAAGTTCAAATTATAGGTATATGTATATATTGCAGGGTGTCACATATATACATGATCTTAATAAAAGTTTTTTATAATGTTGTCGTGCATGTCACCCGAGAAATCCATGTTTACAACTCTGAGCTCTCGTGAATGTCTCACAAGAAGCAGTCTTTCAATTCCAAATCATGTTATATAATATATAAACGCGTTAACTACTTTGATTATTGGATTACTGGATACACACAAAATACACAGGAGTGTCGAATATACAAGTTTATTCTTTACATTTAAATTATGATAATATCGTATATCAGGCATCTGGCATCAGATAAACGATTAATCATAAGTGATGGACTGATAAATAATATAATACGAGTATATATACCTATCTGAACGAGTGGATGCACTTTTGACTAAAAGTTTGTAAAATACGTTGCGTTTGCAAGGTTAATAAGGAATAAGGCATATAAGTATGTTAAGTATGTATATAGAAGATACTCAGACACTCAGTAACTCAGAGATATCAATGTCACGTTTATTTTAATTGTTTTCTTCATTCCTAGTTAGGAATTAAAAATGTAAAATATGATCCATAGTACGACAGTACGGTACTATGGACTATGGTATATGTATATATATATAGTGTGCAAGATTCGTTATTTAAAATGATTTTAAAATAATATTACTATAAAGTTCATACGAAAGCAATGTCAAGGAGAATTTAATACTCAAAATTTTGAATACACTATAACAAATTATATATTCATCATTTTTGAAAATTTGTCAGCGATAAATTATAATAAAATATCACATTTTAAAACGTATACACAATACACTTGTACAACAAAAAACCAATAGGTAGGGTGCTCTTCTTTATATGTCCCCCTTCCTCAATACTGTATATTACTAAAACGTGAATTGTTGTGCATATATCTATCATCTTTTATCTCGGTCTTCAATCCTTAGATTGGTTTGCTGCAGTTCTCCATGCGTCACTATCGTTACTCAATTCCTTTAGTTCCTTATAACTTTTCTTCCCCATGTCCATTATGATTTGCTTCATGTACTCCATCCTTGGCCTTTCTCTTCCTATATGGCCTTCAACGTCGCCTCTATGACGGTTTTCGATAGACTCTCATGGCGTAGTAGATGTCCTATCATTTTAGCTCTTCTAACTGGTATGGTATGCCATAGTACTTTCTTTCTTTTATTCTATTTAGTACTTATTTCATTCGTTATTCTATCAATCCATTTAATTCTTAACATTTTACAATAACACCACATTTCGAAGGCCTCTAATTTCCTTTCTTTATGCACTGATTGTTCAGGTTTCACAGCCATAAAAGCAATATTCCAACATTTATTTTTAAGAACCTCTAAGGCCATACTATTGGTGGTTAATAGGTGTTTTTTTTATTCTGGAAGGCCCTCTTCGCTTGTAATATTCTATTTATAATTTCATCTTTACTACGGCCATCTTCCGTTATTTTACTTCCCAAGAAATCTATAATAGTATATGTATTATATAGGTCTATACTTCTATATATATTTTATTTTTGTTTGGAAAATTGTACTTTGTTAGTTGTTCTATAAGAATGATAATTAGTGAGATAAGTTGTATTATTGCATTTGAAGGTCGGGTTCAATAGGTACCATGTAACGCATGCAGTACCTATACAACCGTATAAGTGAAAACAATAAGAAGTTGAACATGTACTAAGTATTACTGACATCCCGTCAAGTGTCAGATTCTTCAAAAATCGTGGAGTTATTCACGATTCTGGAATATGTTCAAATGCCGCAAAGCTTGGATGTAGTAGCAAGTATAACTATGTGAAACTTAAAGTTAAGTTGAATGTTGAAAAGTTACTCGTAAAGTAACTTTATAATTTAACTAGTTGGTCTTAATTATCATAATAAATTTTCTAACGTAACGAGTTGAATTGAATGCATGACATTATACAATTTAATGCTTAAAAAACAAATAACAATAAGTAGGTAACTACCAAGTTATTTTTGTAATGACTGCTAAAATCCCAATGTTCCGTAACACTGGTGACTGTCGGTTGGATAATAACTAATTGTATTAAATAGTATTTTGTGGTGATAAGTACATTTTTTATCATAATATATTATTTCTTGTAATACATGACTTGAACCACATTACATTGGGGTTGATCAAATTATGTTGTCTAGGGGCTGCCGAACTGCACAATTTACCACCATCGCCGTATTCAATTGAACTAATCAATCATCGCCATTAATTTTGGTTAGATATAATGATTAATTTAATATAATATTTATAAACTTTACATTTGATCGAAAGGGTTTTTAAATTTATATTTAAAAGTCTTAAACTGTAAAAAAAAACTAACTTTAATTCTACCAACTAATTTTTATGAAACTAACTTAAATTACAATTTTATTAGTTTTTGGATCAAAGCGACCTACCTTAAGCGGTTAAAAAAAAATGTGTCAAATGGTCATTAAATGACAATGGAATTTGATAATCTTAATCGTGATAGGTATTTAAAAAGTTGAGTGTCGTACTGAAATAATGTACATGTTGATTGTTAATAGTTGGCTTTCCAGCTCTACACTTCAATTAAAAAAAAATTATTTATTTTATTTACTGTTGGCTGGATGAATAATATTCAAATATTAGCAGGATCGGAAATTATGTTTTATATTTTTGTTGATGTATTCACTTTTTAGGTAAATTGTAATTTCCAACCAACCATATACTTTTATAAATTAGAAGAAAAAAATATAAATTCTAAAAGTACCTATTTGAATATATATTTTAAACACCATTACACTTATTTATTAGAATTTCTAAGTTTGTAGAAATAGGGAGGCAAATATTTTTTTTGCAATCAATATATTTTCTTTTAATGTTTGGTTGATATTCAGGTCTACAGATGTACACAACAATTAGCAAAATTTCGCGTTTCGATAATTTGAGGGCATATATCAGAATAGTATCGGAAAAAAATTAAATAAATATTTTATTATTGATGGAAGCCGCCTACTCGCTATTTGAGTATTTCGATAAATTTAATTTATCGAAATTTTGTTGACTTTTCATATTGGTATTTAAAGTAAAATTATCTCAGTGTAAATTTGTTTCTTACACTTATAAGTTATGAGATTGTTAAAAGCGTTAAATAAAAACAAATTAATTTTATTTGGAAAAGAATGTTAGTATTTACGGAGGGGAAATAAATAAATGTGAATGTCTAATGTAAAGTGTTAAATATAATTCAATATAATTCTTAATAACCTATACTATGATTGAAGATTGTCTTAAGTTAATATGTATTTTTACATACGATCAAAAGAAATTTAAACAAAATATAATAATTATTAGTTATAATATATGTATAAGAAAAACAACAATGGTGAAATTTTCGTTTATAAATGATAATGTATTTTGCATTTTTAGTTTTTACCATATTATATTATAATACATATTGAGTGTTAGGAAGGAATGGAACTGATAGATCTTTGTAAAGCTGAGTAGCTAAACACATTGTAACGGTTTGAAAGGAAGTAGTTTTTTGAACACAATAGTAAAATGAGGGAATTATTTTTTTTTGAATTCCGGCCCTAAATATAGAGGTATACAGAAAGAAAGTACACTTGGGGGAAAAATACGAAGCCATGTCAAGCATTTTCGAATAAAAAGTCATGTATTAGAGTAATAAAAAAAAATTGATTATAAAGCTCACAACATGAATTCAAAGGGTTCCCTATTCTGGCTATTCTTAAAGGAAACGAAAATATTCGGAAGAAAATAAGTGGATCGAAAAAAAGTTGTATATTTTCAACGTTTACGAGCGATAACTACTTGCCACAATCTATAATGTTTGATTGTAATAATATATAGTTATTATTATATTATAGAGCTCTTGTACAGCAAATTTTAAGTATCACATCGACTTTACGTCATTAGAGGTCACAGGTCATTAGATCGAAACATTCGACTATAATATACAAATTATTTTCGATTTATTTCGCTGGGCTCTCTTACTCCCCTAGCCACTGGTGGGTGTGTAAACTACACATCACACTAAAATGTACCATAAATTGCATTAAAAGTGTTCACTCACCGTAAACGATCATCTTCTTAATCATAAAATCCTCGTCGTTGTAAGTAGACACGACGCACTTGTAGTTGCCGGTCAGCTCGATGGTCGGCCGGATGATGTACAGGGCTCGGTACTTGGCCAACGCATCGTCGGTGGGTGCAGCGAAACCCAACCGGATGTGTTTTTTCAGCGGACCGATGGTCCGGGGCGGTTGGCCCTGTATCCACTGGTATGCGGGGCTGGGGCTATTGTTGAAATACCACGCAACCACCAGCCCCTCGGCCTCTTCCGGTTTTACCTTGTACACGCAGTCCAATACGACGCATTCGGTACCGTTCAGAACTGCACTCGGCACCCTCTGGTCCATTATCGTAACGCTGTCCACGACCGCTGTACACACAGACAAACACAAACACACTTTCAACAAGATATTACTATGTCATATTTTAATAATAATAAGAATAATAATAACAGCAACAACACGCATATTATAATATCTTCAAATGTTTGACTTTTATGTGAGGAATCATTTATGCTTAATTTTTGTGAAATCAAATAATTTACATTTTTGTTTATAACCATGGTCCACTGTTATTGTTAATACAATTTTAATCCTAAAAATAGATATTAGTAATTATTAGGTGCAATAGAGAATATAATAGTATGCATTGATAGGACCGGCATTGTATCAAGTGTGATCGGAGTTATGTCAGCTTCACAGCTACGTCGTCCGTCGTGTCATGCGTGCTTTTTATCGTATACTGATATTCTATTTAATCGTGGTGTCATTCACTGACCACGATCTATAAAGAAATTTTCAGATATGGACCTTGCTCAATGTTTGGATATGACACGACACGACAATGTAGCAATGTGAACTTGGCTTTAGAGCGTTTTAGTTATGAAAGTGGTTACTTGCAATGGTTGACGGTTGTGGTATCTTCACCACTGATAATATTAAATAGGTAATAAATATATAGAATAATAACATCAAAATACGATATGACAAAATATATTCTTACAGTCATTAAATTAAGAAGACATCGCACCCGCATAATATGTTTTCTCTGTTTTACAAACTATTTAAAAATTCTCATAATTCACTTAAAAACTAAAACCAACGAGAGAACACAGATAATATTAATTATACTTTAGAGTTTGATAATAGATCAATTCACTCTTATATCAAAACTAACAGTACACTATTGAAACGGTGAACTAACATTTTTTATATGCTACACGAGTGTAAGACGGAGACAACATATGAGGGTACAAAACTGAAAACAGTCGTCACATGAGTGTATATTTGAGTTTTCAACCGCATTTAAATGTGTTTTTGACATTATATATAAAATACTATAGTATACATACTACCATATTAGATGTTTTAACACTTTTTTAAAAAAGTTTTGTCTAAAAATAATTTTCCAAAATTAAAAATTGTGAATGAAAGTTGCTGTATAAACGAGCCCTTGAAAGTAGGTATATGCAAAACGTCGTGTTTTGTATTGTGTACATTTCATTATTCATCGTTTTAGTCATAATTAATTGGTTGGCGATAATTGCAGCCGTATCTCGTAGGCTAGAAAAATCATTAAGTTGTCTTAACTTTGAAAACAATTATCGTCAAAGCTTTTTTTTTACCAACTTTTGTAAACACGTGACTAAACTTCTGCAAACTTCAGGCATCTTTGCGTGTAGGTACCTAATCTACCAGCAATCTAACGCCGTATACAATTACTTATTATATTATTATTAAATAATATTATATTATGTATATATAACGTATAACCATAACGTATAATGTGTACTTTACTCTGGAAAGTGACAGCGTCGTATTTAAAAAATGCTCGAAATCAGTGTCAAATTTAGGAATTATATCTTTGCTCCCCGGTATAAAGGACCAAAAGACATAAGTCGTGGACAAAAAGGGCATAGGTCAGAACAAGTGAAATCAAAAGGGCATAACTACAGTTATCTCGTTAAATATTCATAGCAACAAGAATTTGAATGGTTTCATGCATTAAGAATGTAATATATGTAATATAAAAATATCTCAAATATGTATGGATATAATGAACTTACAAATAATAATTTTCAAACATTGATACTGCTGTCGCAAAAAGCTGGTGAAATGGACTGAAGCCCTTTTTCCCCGGGACCAAAGATATAATATTATACGCACTAAGTCAACATATCACTGCCTCCTCACATTGTGGAAATTTCACAACCATCTATAACTGATCCACATTTAATACGTCATGTAATATTGTATGTATTTTGTAGAAACTAAATGTAATAATACATTTAAAATAATATGTCAAATATTTAATCAAAAACTACTATTTACTTGATCTATAGAAATTAAAATTCAAATGTCCCTCAAAAGTTCCACTTGCAGCATTTAAAAATAAATAAGCATAATATTGTTTAGACATTTGAAGTTTAAATTAATATGACAAAATTGTATATTTGAACAAAACTCTAAGCTAGGTATTTATTATTAAATAAACTTTACATACATCGGTACATCGGTGTTCACTTATAAGTTAAATGTTAATAACAATATTATATGATATAATATACTGTAATAATTAATATTTTATAGTGTATACTTAACAGTGGATATAAATATATTCGTCAATTTTGTCTAAAATTAGTTCAAATTCAACTTACTTATTTGATCTCTAAAAAAATTAATAATATAGGTAAATATTGATATTATAAAACATGAGTAGAAAGGGTGGCTGACACCGTCTGCACTTAGAATGGATTTTTGGATAGGTATATAATGATTTATCATTCAATTTAAATTTAACACAGAAATTACCATGACTTATTCAATGGCCAGAATACCAGATACACTCTAAATCAATAAGTTCTCTGACCAAACAAATATTCATATAATTACGACTTATAATTTTTGGATCACTAGGTAGATATTTAATTTTTACCACCCCTCAAATTTGGGGCCTGGGGCATTCGCCAAATCGCATCAGTCACTCTTGCCCCCTAAATGCATCACTACTTGTAATTAATTATAATAGCATTGGTAATTTATAATAATATTAACCAAGTACAAGGTATGTGATATGTATGCTAATGAATAGTATGTACTACTACACTAGCAAAATATTAAATGCACCGCCTCATTACGTAATTTCTAAACTCTCCTATACCTAACTCTAACTTATAATCGAATTTCACAAATTATTCATTCGGTTATACCATACCACTACACACCCTTTAACTACATAAACATAATTTTAACTACTCAAATTACTCTAAATGGTTATTTAAAAGGATAGGTAACGAATAAGGTAAGGCCTTTCTAGAAACTAACAAAAATATTGTACAGCTTATTTTCTTGATCTTTTAAACCCTCACTTATCAATTAAAAATATGAATATGTGCCATGAATAAATTCCGGAAAAAATTTTATTTCACCTGTATACTACGTCTAACATGTGTTGTTTACATCGGATCGATATATGCCTATATGAATATAGGACTATATCGATAACGTATTACAATAACGTGTGCAAATAATATATTCCAGCTATATTATTTAGAAAACCAGACCACGTATAAGGTACATTTATCTTAGAACCGGGAGAAAAATGCTGGTGCTTGCATAACTTGATGGCTTAAGGACTCAAAACATCAAGGGGTGGGGGTGAAAAGGATTGTCTAATAATAAATCGACTCGCTTCATAGACAGCAGGAAAATAGGCCTGGCTACGCTGATATACCTCTGAATTTTCAAATCTACACGTGTGTCCTGATATAGAGTCGAACCGATGTATTCAAAGCGGAAACTTATATATGTACATAATAAACAGTGTGGAAAACAAAACGAGTTTATGCGTAAGAACCTAATGCGTTATCCTTTCTCAAATAAAGCACGCGTGTAAAAGAGAGAAATAAAAATTAATATTTCTTTAATCTAGAACTCAACACCACGGCCATCACTACCGCCATTAAAACCACCACTACACAACTCTCGTCCGTCGTTCATGCTCTGAGTTTGCATCTTCCGTGGATTTAAATTCCATTTCCATTTCCATATATTATATTTAAATATATCGTTTTTTATGTATTTTTTTTTTTTTTTTTGTATAAATATCAACATAATCGCTTTCTTCCAGTGGTGAACTTTCGTCGTATCTATACCTCATCGTTTCCGTCATCGGATATGCGGGAATACCGATAATGGATTGTTTCGTTTCGTCGAAAAATAATAAATAAGTAATTCCACCCCGTCTGCCCGGCTTGTAGGGATAAAATGAGAAGTTTTTCAATGTAAAAATATTGTGGGCGTAGGGGTGGGATGGATATCGCTAAGACTTTGAAGCACCAAAAATCACCTCTTGATCCAGAAAGACACTTAATTAGCCGCACATAAACTGACTTGAATTAACGATGACAGTAGCAGTGGAGGCAATAGTCCCTTACTACAAAGTTTGATCGACCACTTTCACCCGAATGTTTATCGGTAATTTTTCAATACTGTTTGCACACGCATCCTCTGCCGTACGCACTCATCTTAATTAAAATCGAACACCCTGTGATGTCCGATTATGATGGATCCGAAATGATGAAATTAATACCACTCAAAAACAGATACCTACCTATATTAATATACCTATTTATATACCTACATGTATAATGTATATATTCTACCTATTTGGTACTTGTAATATGCATCATAATACGTTTATAACATATTGACATTACCTACAAAATAAATTTGTTTATCGAATTTTCGACTAACCGTATAACAGTATTTATTAAAACATAATAACATGTACTAAAAAGCATATTTGAAAAAATTAAATTAAGTAATAAAGTAAATTTCAAAACTATCTAGGTATATAGCTTATAATTTCCAGTGCCTACCTGTATTTAAATAAAATAAAATAATATATTAATTACTGTTTTAATGTTTAAAACCAGATAATTCACAATACAAGTTATATCAATCACTATTTACTATTTAAAGTACCTACCTACCTACTTAATATAAAATACAAAAAATGATAATTCATAATAAAAGGACTTTATATACATATTATGATATATTATAGGCAAGGCTTATGTTATATAACCATCGGAAAAAACCTTATCAATTTTATCCATCGTCGTTTCATAATGAATAGAACACACGTGTTTATCACCAATTCTGCACTTTTAGACATACACAATAGTATCCACTTATTTAACTTATTTCCAATATTTAAAGTTTATCTTTTTTCGTCTTGTAGCAAGTATTACTCATACTTATCGCCCGACCATACAATAATACATGTCACTCAGTGAATAAATTCACCTAGACATCCCATTTCCGTTATTTTCTTTCTTCATCCTTGCTTTTATTCTAACGTCTGTGGGGTGGTATTTTTTTTATTTCGTCTTCGAAAAGGATTATCTTACCAAGATGACAAGTAAACATTTAAACAGAACATTTTACCGGAAATACAATTAAAATTGTATTTTAAATTAATATTATGCGCACTTTAAAAACATATCGATTTTATTATTATATTTTATTTTGAGTTGTAAACATTATTTAACTAAAAATATATTAAGTTTTTTAGTTTATGTTGAAATCATAAGTATATATGCAACAGTCAGTTAGTGTAACGGGTAAACTTTCAAAATTTAAACACACGCTAATAATTAACAATTTATTACTACTTTTGAGATTTTTACTATAAACTCCTTCATATTTTTAAAGAACCGTGAACGATGTCGTAAAATAACTTCTTCGAGCTATAAGAAACTGATTACTCACGCTAGACAGTAGGTAAATTTATTTTAAGTTACTTAATAAAAATGACTTTCGATGATTGACGTTATCAGAATTTAACACTTATTGTCGTAAAAAAATATACTTTTCCTCAAATCCCTACCAAATAACCTGTCAAAAAAAAATTAGTATTCAATACTAAATATTATTATTATTGTTTTTTTTAGAAAATTAAAAATATTCAGAAATTATATTTTATCAAATCTTTCATGATTAATTGATAAAAATGTATGGCAACAAACAGCAAAATGATTTTCAATTTTTGTTAAAATATTCTTTATTATAATATATTTATATATTATAAACTTATAAGTATTTGCAGAACAATGCAATATCTTATATCCGTAGACAATATTACAAAATGGGTATTTAAATGTATATTATTATTCTCGTTGAATTCGCATTTGATCATTATTCTACACCAGTAAACAAATTGCCTGTCTAAAAAGTTCATTTCAAGTTGATGTCAAGATCTTAGGAAAATTATATCGTATTACAATTTAAAGACTATTATTATGTATGTTTTCGAAGGAATCTTATGTCAAATGTATTTGCAAATGTGAATCGTGAAACGATCATGTTTTGTAATATTTTTATTAATATTTTAATTATATAATTACTTATTCTTTGGGCGTTGAGCGCAAATATTATACAATATTCAACAGTTTTATCAACTTGTTAATAAAATAAAGCATTGGTATTTTAAATTTTAAATCAAAAATTTGACTGTTTACCTTCGCGTTCTATATTTCATAAGAAAAAAATAAGAAAAATGTTTCCGCGAACGATGTGAAATAAATATTATATTATATTTTATTATATTTTTGCCTACGCGTTTATAAGACTCAACAAATGTCACATAAGTTCGCAGAAATATTTTTCTTAACCCAAATTAACTTTGAATAATGTGTTAGCTTTCTGATTTAGATTTACGACTTAAAACAACGAAATGGCTAAATAATAAATATCTCCACGGTCCCTTTGAAATTATCCCTAGAGATCGTTCTTAGCCGCGTCACCCCTATCCGGAAAAAACTGTTTATTATTCGACGCGAACGATCGCGAGTTTTTCATCTTTATCCTTGGCAAAAACTTTGCACCATATTCGCTTAAAATTGTGTAGCGTTTATGAAATCTTCCGGCTTAAAAAAGGAAAAAAAAGAAACGTGTACCTATTTTATTCTCTAGATGCACTTCAATACGGCGCAGTATTATTAAACCTTCGTGTACACATATATCCGTTCTCATACGGTTCAAAGGCGCGTCAATGTCTTTTACATTTTTAATAATTATTTGTCTCGGGCAAAGATTTAAAAACTCTTGTGCGCTCGGTGCGCATGTCTATATATATATATATTATATACCTAACAATATTTGTTTTTTTCCAAACCGCCGACTATAATATACTCATGCATCGAGAAAAAGGTTAACCGGTGTCAAAATGTTATATAATTTTGCGATTAGATCGCGTAAACAAAACACGTTGTCGTATCATAATAATATATACTAAAGGGTTCATGTACCTACCTACTCACCAAAATTGTACGGTCAACCCAGAATATTGGAGTTGATAAGTTTGCGGGGTATGACGATGGCCACAATTACGCCGATAATTTCATATTTTATATACCTAAACGGTAACCGAGGGGGGGGGGCAAAAAATTAAGCAAAATAATATATAGATTGGCTTCTTACCGTCGAGAGCGATCGTGCACGAGTAGAACAAGGAGTACAGGCCCAGGAGCAGCTTAGTGCTGCTCACTGGTGGCCGGACCATGGTTGAAATCGGCGTCCACGGAGGTCCGTCGAAGATGATGCTCTCCGGAGTCCGGACAAGAGTGTCGGCTGGCCGGTCGTCTCGTTCGGCTTCGGCGTCGGAGGCGATGTATGGCTGTCGACGGCGACCGAGTGCGTCGTCGGCGTCGGTGGCGGCGACTGCCGTCGTAGGCTGATACGACGACGGCGGAGGGATGGGATCCCGCTGCCGCCGCCACCACCGCCGGCTTGGTCCGGTGTCCACGTGGTGCGCGCCGCCCGAAACGCACCACCCTCACCACCTAGGCTGCCGTCGACGGTTGCCGCATGCCTTGTGTGTTTACAACACTTCAGCCCGCCCACGAAACACGCACGTCTGGAAACGAGATTAAAATTTGAACTTGAAAATTTTTTCTAGGTGTTATTATTTTTTTGGTTCGGTTTTAAGATGGTAAAAAATAGTGCACATAGCAGTACATTTTTTTTGCGTATCTTCATATCATTATATGGTGTAAGCATATTACCGGACTTGGCCAGTTGGGCCAGTGACCACCGCGTAAGATTTTGTCCAATGGTTGTGAGTTCAAGACTGACAGAGCTAATTATTTTTTATTATTTCAAAAACATCAATAGTAATTTGTATTTAATATAATTAATTAAAAATAATTTCTCGGTAAACAAAACTCCGACCCTCGCAGCACACACAGCGTGTTTTAATATCACCTATAGTAGGATTATGTGTTTTGTTCGTCACATAATACTATAGCAGTAGGTACCTATTGGGGTTTTGATGCAACCTTCCGGTACCTATAATACTCCCCTTCTGGTGTGTATTCTCGTACGTGGTCGGCGAACAACGTCGATTGTACTTTTTGTTTTACGACTGTTGAAGCGGAAACGCGACGACTGCCCAAGTATTGGTTTGCAGTTTGTGCCAACCACCTAGGGTGCAATTTGGTGTTCAGTGCAGGTTTTCTTAAATATCTAAAAAATTAAAAAAATAATAATATATAAATATGTTCATATTTGGAAAAATTAAGACCTGAGAAAATATAATAGTCCCCCCCTCCCCTAACAATATCCCTATTTTAACCTGCACTACTACGGACGTAAAGTGATGTAATGATTATCGATATATCAGTTTTAACATTTTAGTGGCCATTTCAATGATGAAAATATAATATGTTAAAATTATTTATTCTTAAAACTGAGCGAGAAATAGCTTTTGGTTTTTCAAAAATAATTTAAATAAAAAATGTTTTCATAATTTATTCTTTTTGGAGGTAATCAAAAACGTAATACATTATTTTCAGCTACAAAATCTAGATTAAACAGATGTTGTATACTATATAAGCTGTGTGACGATTATTCTTTGACTGCAATCATTTTCAACAAAATCTTGACCATTCAGTTTATGTTTAGTAAATAAATGCCATTATGTTTACTATAATGAATTATACATAGAAAACACGGATTAAAAGACAATCAACTAGCATTATTCTTTAAAATAAGTACTGTATCTTGAATTCCGTTACATTTATAATACAGTGAAATCTTTAAATATCATGGTCATCTCGGTTGCTGAAACTTTGTCGGGTGTTCGGAGGTGTCTAATGTCTACTCTTGAGAATGTTCAGTTTGAAGAAAGTTTATCATTTGATCAGAACAAAAAACGTTTACTATTTGGTGGTATCCGCTATATAGAGGTTCTCGTTAAGGTCGGTGGATGGGGGTTCTTCACTGTACTGTTATAATTTTTATTTTTCAAAAGTTATAAATATTATAGTTAAAAATTATAAAATATGGTTTTAGACTGTTAAATTATGCAATACATTTTGCCATAGACATAAAGTATAAAGTATTGTTAAGGTTTATTTGCATGGCTTCTCCTATAAATCATTTTTAATTATGCTGTTTAACCCCTTCACGTTGTCAACGATGTGTAATACCGTTGACCTCAAGCACTCGTCAAATTTGATACATTTTTTATGTGTAGGTACAAGTTACGATAACACCCAAAGTGCTTTAAAAATAACAATTATTCTGCAGTGAGGGTGATTAAGTATTGGCGTGAAGTTGTTTGACTTTCTGCGACTATGATGACTTAACTCGCAAGCCACAACCGATCGAACAGCCCCTCATTCAATAGAAATGGACCTCTAGTCTTTTAAATTACACCAGTGATATATTTTCTACATGTTCCCGGTTCTTTTTTATTACCACAGAGGCTCAGTCTTAGAGGCACGGATTTAATTAGTATAATATGTAGCAGCTACATACAAATGTTCAGTAAAATTAAATTAAAAATTAAAATTAATAATATAATTTAAAATTTAAAAATAATAATATATCAATAATATTATTTATACCAGACTATGCGTATAAAATAATAAGTTAGGTAAGTAACGCAATTTAATAAAATAATAACATTTCGTTGTAATAGGCTTATGGGCATTTAAGGTTTTGAATATAATGACCCTTTAATCAAATTTATTTGTCCAGCATTATGTCCTATGTCCATTCCTAGGACTTACAGGAAAATGTTAAATAAATACCACGTAAGTATAAATTTTCTGTGATGAACTGGTTAAATTATATCAACTATCCAATAGCTGTAAAAGTGTAAACATATTTTATACAATAAAACCAATTTAGCAATTGAAAACTTAATTGTGTTAAGTTATTTTATAGGTACTTTATGTAAATTTTGTGTAGACAATTTAATAACTTATATAATAGTTCATTAAAAAATATGACCAAGCACAATTAATAATATTATAAACTGTAGTCTAGAACTATAGTGCGACCACTACAACCTCACATTAATTTCGTCTCATGCGTGGTGTGTTCGTAAATGTATTGCATTAAAATTACACGTACTTACGGTATAGGTAAACCTACGCCAATAACCTTAAAATGAATATCAATGAACAGTTTAAATTAATTTATCAAAGATTTCATATTCAATCCATACATTTGTGAAGTGTTGGGAAAACGTGAATGACAAACTTTGTTCTTAAATATAATATTTGTATAGCATTCTGTTTAGATTTTCTTCGTTCTAAAATCAGGTATTATTTAGAGATTTATAAGCTATAATATAACATCATATTTTATATTAGTGATTATTTTGTATCTGTAATATTACAATTAATATGTATATCGAGTTGCTATAAACTGATGTTTGCAATTTGTTTATTATAAACGTGGGTTACTAATTACTATAGGTTAGACTCCAACCGTTAGAGTGTAAAAATACGTAGGTAGTTGGTATAATATAATCCCATACCACGGGGCACACGGATTAAGATAATATTAAGATACACAACAAGTGTTTATTACCAACAAATTACTGTTTTTCAATTAATGTTCTTCTCTCAACACATATGCCAATATTTGAACTGGTAACTTTATTACTTACAGCTTTTTTGTAAAAATAATATACGCTTATATTATTCACTATTCAGATAGTAGGTACCTAGTAAGAGTGTACGAAGATAGTAGATAGTCGATAGTAGATAGTAAGAATATAATTTCAAATTGTTTATGATTTATGTTGTATTAATAATTATTAAAGTTACTATAGTAATTATTGAAGGTAAAACATGTACGTCGTATTTGGTTATAGCGTATGACTTTTAACTCAAAGTATTCGAAATGTAAACTGTTTAAACTTAAAGTAGGTTCTTGCATATCAATATGCCATTATTATACATTTATACCTACATAGTACATGGGTACTGTATATATCTGAATTGCTGGTTCGGAAATATTCCACAAAAATATGACCACTTTTTAAAATTCAAATCCCCGGTAACATTATACAAAACAAAATAAATATATATATGTGTCTACCTATATCCTAATAAATAAAAACTCGATTGTTTGTTTGTATATTAACATCAAAAACAGTAAAGTTATTCATTTTTATATTATACTTTATATAGGTATTGTAATTAATTTGTTATTTGCTTTAATTCGTATCAACAGTCATCACGTAGGTACAATAATATTATGTTTATAAAATGTGTAGTTAACAATAATAATAAATGTACAAAATATATATTTTATTAATAGTATTATTATTTAATATATTTCGTAAAATTTTAAATTCGACAGTTTTATTTTTAAAGAATTGTGTTCATATTCTAGTAAAATGAAACCACATAATATTATTAAAATATAGAACCAATAAATTATTAGTATCAAACAATCCATACAACACTCGTCCATATAATAAATACTATAACTTGTGACTTTGTCGGGTTTTTATATATTCTCGTCAAATAGGTACCTATATAAGAAATATAAAATAATAGTTTTTGTCACTCATATGATCAGAATGAATTATTTGCATTTTATGAATTTGTAAATAACAGTGAAGGGAATATTGAAGAGCTTCTTAGAAAACTTATTTATCATAATGAGTAATGACAGTGCGACGGTACGTGAGATAATTTGTTGAGAAGGGTGGCGGTCTTCCGGGAATTAGAGCATCGACGAAGAGTGTAAACTATTATTGATCATTTTCTTTTACTAACATAATTTTTTTAATTTCAATAGTTCAAGAGCTAACAACTAACAAGTAACAATCATAAAATTAAAGATCATTCAAACAGAAAAAATGTAAATCTTAATTAACTATAAATATTAAATTCAAATTGTTTTGTGAGAAACCATTTAAATTATTACAAAAACAGACAAAATTGAAATCACCAGCTAAGACTAATCATTTGCTACAAAGATATTCTCTTATGACAACTGATTAATAACTAATAATATTATATTATAATGTATGTTATATAATATTTAGGTATAATTTATAAATATAATATCTTTTTGAAAATATTTTAATAAAGATTTAAATTCAAGATTACAATATAATATGATGGTATTTTGTATTTCTTTATACCCTGTGCAATATTATCCTTATGTTTAATGACAATGTATAAATTGATTAATTCAAAAATATTTATATGTTTACATGTTATTAAATCTCTAAGAATGGTTCATATTATATTG